CCTTTTGCAGCGCGCAACGATTAAAAAAGGAGGGAGAGAGAGAAGCTGTAGCTGAACTGCAAGAACAGCGGGTATGCGGCAATCGGAGCTATTTTCGAATGGAAAACAATTATTGCCGCAGTAACGTTTTCCTCTGCCGATGCTGCTGCATATCTATTTCTCTTCGCAGGTACACACAGCAAGTATCTGCCGCGGTATAACTAAGCACACGCACGCGGCTTGCGTTGAAATAATTGCCAGGTTATACGCTCGAAATAAGCATGAAAAAATTACGCTCCAAGCGAGGAAATTACTTCGATCACACGATTGCTAATATGTTAAATTCTGTGTACGCGACTCTTATACACATATAAACTCGTGTTAAAAGTTCGCCGGCCCATTGTAATGGGGAGCACATATGTAAAATACGGTATATAAAACTCGTGTACGCGCCGATAAGCGTAAATCAGTTTGCGCTCTGCATTTCTGGCGCGGATACAGTACGCAGCGCACATACATATACCTCTTTCTCATTTTATCCGTCGCTTAATTTTCCGTATAGTACGCATGTAAGCGAATGAAGATTACGCGCGTACGGAGTAATTACAGCAAAAAAAAAGGGAAAAAGAATCGGCGTTAACACGAGTGCTGCACGCGCGCAGCTCGTGTTCGCGGAACGTTAATTAGGGTGAGTTTTTTCGGGTTTTTATTTTGGCGGACGTATATAGCAAGCTACCACTGTACACACGTGAGCTTTGCCGTGTGGTGGTGCACAGTCCCGGAAGAGAGGAAAACAAGCGTACACGTACATGCGCTCGAGAACGCCGATAATTATGACATTATTGCGCAATATTTATGCTGTATACGCTGTATTTTAAACCTCCTCGAGTTATCTCGATTATGAATCGCCGCATAAAGTGTAGGCAAAAAAATTAATAATTTACATTCGTGCGTTTGTGTGTGTGTATAAGCTCTGTATGCGTGCAAGGTGCCTGTGAGCGCACGTGCAGGCGCGCACACACACACACACACACACGTTCTTGCGAGGCATTATTTAGCAAATTTTATGACTATTCATCGCGCGTACACACACGCGAGAGTTCGATAAGGAAAGCTCGGCTCGCGCGCGCGCGCACCTAATGCGTGATAAAGCAACAACGACGACGACGACGAGAGGCACCACAGCGCGGAGGACGTCGAAGCGCGCACATATTCGAAACTGCACAGCACACGAGAAAATGAAGAAAGGGAGGAAGAAAAGCTTCTTATCTCAGAGGGCCTATATAAACGCGGACGATAGACGCTCGCGCTTTATATTCCAGGCGCGCATAGAGCGCGATATACCGCTGCAACCCTTTTACATGTGTTGCCAGGCGAGGATAAGGGCAATCGATAGATGTATAAGGAGTACGAGCTCGCGCGTGCACGCAATTAGAGGCGTAAATTGTTGCCCCAAAGAGAGAAAGAGAGAGGGAAAATGCAAATATATGCAGGAAATGGCAATACGCATGTATAATAATATGAAGAAAAGCTGCGAGCAAAAAGTGTCCAAGAAAGATAGTCGGCCCGGAGCGCGTCGCAACTCGTACATGTACGAGGCAAAAGATCGAGAGAACGAGAGCGACACAGAGAGGGCAAAAAGATAATCCAATCCGCACGCGTACGTGTACGCACGAGAGCCGAGCAGGCGTGACACTTGGTTTTATTTCCAAGTACCTTTTAATTCGTCCTTTTTACACGCACATAATATTACGCAGCAGCGGCACAAAATCCCTGCCTGCGGATTATAACCCGTCCATATTCGTTTGATTTTATATATGCGTATATCACAGAAGCGGCCGCTCGACGTACTCCTGCTGCTGCTGCTGCTGCGAGGCTCGTGTGGTTTTTATAATTGCGTACTCATTGCCGCGCTATTAATGCGTATTACACGCAATATAATAATGCGCGCACGAATATCGAACATCTGCTAAAAGGGAAAAATTATCTCTTTTGCTCGCACGCGGCTCTTTCTCCCTTTTCTCGGCGTATATAAGTCGCAGAATTCCATCCTTTTCTCTCCATTTATATATCAGATAGAAATTGCCGCGCTCGGCGGCGGCGGCGAGACGTTATCGCGAGACGATCGAAGGGAACGCGCGCGTTTTGCTATGGGTAAATTCAACGCACATCTACACACACAGCATACACAAGCACGTGTACAAGAGTGTAAAAGCCAAGAAGAGCTGACCTCGGGCAAAGGCTGCCTCTTTGCGCGAGCTTAGTACCTTCGAAAAGAGGAAAAACCATCTTGAACTTCCTTTTTAACGATTCGCGCCCTCGAGCTAGACTTTCGTCTAGCTTTATAAATCTTGGTCTTTTTGCGTAGAATAGAAAGAGATAGAGAGAAAGAGAGAGAGAGAGAGAGAGAGAGAGAGAGAGAGAGTGAGGCAAGCGAGGAAAAAACTGTGAGAAAAGGCCTCTTTGATCTCCGCAGCCGCGTATACATGTATACGTTTTATACCTATATAGAAAAAGAGCGAAGGTGCGTCTGCAGGACGGGAAGATTCGCGCGCGCGCCGCGTGCACCTAATGTAATACAAGTGAATTTTATCTCATTTATAATATTGCTAGTGCAAGAAATTGCTCGCCGCGTCGCCACATCGTTCCGCAGATTCTCCTTCTACTTTTTTTTATCAAACGGATGTAGGTATATATATAAGTTGGCGAGGAAAAAAAAATTACTTACATTTTCCAGTCTCTCCGTTTCTCGTATAAATATATACGGCCAGCAGCAGCAGCTATTATATGTACGGCATTGAGCGAAAAATCTGAAACACAAATTCAAAACGTAATTACGTACGAATTGGGTACTAAAATCGGAGGGCGTGAAATAATAATTCTGCACCGTAGTGCGAATTGAAATTTGAAATTTCAACTATACAAAAAAGCAACAACTCTGCGCTATCTACTGGTGCGATGTATGGTACACGAGTTGGCATCGTCAAGCTTCGCAGCGTCGCACCATCGGGTTATAAAGATAAGCTCGTGCGAAGGAAAAATGGAGAAAAAAAAGTGAAAGAAGAAAAAAAAAGAGGAAAAATCTCATACGCACACAACACCCACTGGCGTAAATACGAGAGCGAGGATAATTATGTTTTTCAACGCTCGTTGTGGAGAACATACGTATATAAATACGCGTTGCAACGAAGAGAACGATGTTGTATTGCTGGCTTATAAGTGTATGCAACGCCGTAAAATATTTCATAAAAATTATAAACATTCGAGTTTCTTGATAACGTAACTCGCTTATAATAGGACCGAGACAACAGCAGCGACGACGGCCCGCCGAGTATTAGGCGTTTTTCGCGATATCAGGCGCAGCGAATCTCGCTAAAATTTGCCTAGACTACACACACAGGTGGTTTATACATATACATAAGAGCTGCTGTGCAAGTACTACGAGGTTGAGGAAAAATACGAGCCTCGTAAAAGTGGACGTATTGCGCGACATCGTGTATGCAATATCTCTATATAATAACGACCGGCATCGTACTCGTAATCTGCGTTTATGCCCCTCGTAATCTAATGCACGAAAGAGGTTAGGGCAGTCGGTCGAAAGACTCGAAAATGCGCCCGACCGTTGAATGGCGCGATGAAAAACTCGGCCCGGCTACTACCGCTGGAAAAATTGACGAACGCATATTATGTATAATAGAACGTCTATCGACATACCTGTGCGCGAGTCCCGGCCGAAGCTAATGAAAACGCACGTCTATCTCTGCGCTCTGCGGTCTCTATTATATACGTATGAGTTTGTCTGTGCGAATAAAATGCAGATCTTTTCATAGCTTTACGTTGTGTATACACCGGTACATTCGGAAATTAGATATATATACGACTTGTGCTTCGCGCGAAAGCAAAAGGCATCTCGGAATGAAAGAGAACGAGAAACTCGCGGTAATGTAGCTTTGAATAACACCCCGCGATGTTGTACCGTCCGTATATGTGTGTGTGTGTCTGCGACTGCACTACATCCGTGAATGGCTGTTTGTATGTCTGTGTATGTGTACTTGCATACACGTTAAATTGTGTATCATACTCACCTTCGTATTATATATTTGCTTGGTATTCATAATCGGAGCTCTGCGTTCCAACCGCTTTTTATGCGCTGTATGCGTGCTCGAAATTTCAAAATGTTTCGTTACTCTATACGAACGTTCGTTGGCTCGGAACCGCCAAAAACTTTGGTCAACTACGACTCGCGATGTTCATTTCTTGAAATCTACTTTGTTAAACTGAATCTCGGAACACTATGAGCTGTACGATAAACGATCGATATACTTGGAAATGTAACTCTCGGATGGACACCTCGCGACTCGCGAATTCGTTGCGGGCGTTCAACCGCCGCTCGATTTTCGAAAGCGCGCAACCTGTTGCAGTGCAACGGCCGTCGTCGCGGAATCATCTTCTCTCGTCTCTGCAATAGTTCTCGGGTCGATATATGTGTGTGTGTGTGTGTGTGTGTGTGTGTGTGTGTGTGTGTGTGTGTGTGTGTGTGTGTGTGTGTGTGTGTTAGTGAATGCTCGGTAGCTTTTTGCACGTTACGCATAACTATACGTGCCCACTTGCGGTAGCCACGAGTGGCTCGAGCTGTGCTGTTACTATACGTGCTGCACAGTATAACGCGAGGACAGGTGCACTCGAGTCCCCTGCATACACGTTGAATATGTATACTACATGTGTGTAGGCAGTATAGGATACAGAGGCACTGATATATATACAAAATAATACACACACATAAGCGAGCAAAGAGTAAACGTTAACAGTGTATCTGTATCGCGAAACTGCGAAGGCGCGCGCGAGGATATGCTGCTGCGAGGATATTCGTGGATAGGTGGCGTGCGTGCGCATGCGCTCGCTTCGACGACGGCAGAACTGCACGGCACAACGGCGAGCAGCAGCAGCACTCGACAGGCAGCGGAGAGGTAGAAGTCGAGTCGCGCGAGTCGTGTGGCCTCATCGCTTCTGGCGCTTTCGGGTATCGCGCAAACTTGCAGTGACTTTGCGACCGGCATCGCGCGCGATCCTCTCTCTCGTGCCGTTGCGTATATATACATTTTACACCGGAGCTAATATATATATATACACAGAGAAAGGCGCCGTATACATCGTAACGCGTTGTTTTCTATAGTATACAAACTGCTCTCGGCGCGAATCAGTGGCTGTCTCGTATTATAGTGACTCGCGCCGCGCGTGTTCGCTTATCCTTGCTAAGGCAAACAGAGAGAGATCGTTAACCACGAGTGCGATATTAAATGAGAGATACAGAGAAAAAAAATGTGAAATGATTCGACAGTATAATTGTTTGTGTGTGTTGGATTGATAAGGCTTGATTTTTTAGTTGTTGTTATTATATTCTGTTGAGTTGAGTTGAGTGGATGCACCAGTGTTACCACGTCACACCCCCGCGCACGATATAGAAGTCGTACACAAGGTTTTCTCCAAAAATCGGCAAACGACGAACTTCGAGTAGAGGGTAAGGAAAACTCCAAATTATACTGCACGGGCCGTTGCAATAATTTAATTATCAAAATGTATATGACGATGAAATATTCGGTGATTAATTTCCTCCTCCTGGGGATCTCGCGCGCACCATTGGTTTTGGTACGTGCTGCTGCTGCTGCTCCTGTACGCTCTCGTCCTTGCGCCCGTGTATCCAATCCAATTAAGTAAAACGACGTTCGCTCTATATCGAGTACTTACTAATGACGATCTGAGGGCTCCCCCTTGATCGCGAAGGTTATTTTATCTTTTCTCAAGCTCTCATTCAGCAGCCGGCGCTGCTGCTACTGCTGCTCTTTACTTGGCACGAGATGTATACACTTATAGATGTACACACATCTAACGTCCCAAACCATCTTGGAGAAGCTGCTCGGTATAATACACAGAAGCTCTCTCATGGTTTAATACACAATCTGCGCCGCGCGATCTCTTCTCTCTCGTTTCACTCTCTTTACCGATACACGAGCTGTATTACAACTGCTGCTGCTCCTCCCCCTATGAGCTTCTTCGGTATCTTGAAAATATTTACCTTACTCTATCTCTCTATCTCTCTCTCTCCCGAGAGGGATTCTTCATTCAACGAATTTTCCACTTGGCTACTCGTCATCGTTCAAAGATATAAGGTATAAGGCAACCCCCCGCGGAAACTCGATCGCTTGACCCCCAACCTCCCCCCCTGCGCGCATTCAAGTCTTTGCCGTGTAAAAGAGAGAAGTCGCAGAGCAACGATCCCCGATGGAATTTCGCTTGTACATACATCTACGCGTGTATATACTCAACGCATAATAATTCAGGGTCGAAATTATTCATCGCTTTTAGCTTCCGGCGCGCGAGCGAGAGCGCGGCGTCTTATCCCTTGACTCGCTCTCTCTGTCTCTCGAAATCGACAACTTCCCGTGGGAAGTGTATGCGTGCGTGTGTACCATATCTATACCTATATATGTATGTGTGTGTACCTGTGCCCCGCTCTGTGCTGTGCTCGCGCGCGCGCTGCAGAGCACCGGGGAAATAAGCGCAATTTGCCTCGAGAGCTTTTCCATCTCTCGCGCTACATATATAGCCGAGGAGCTGTTTTTCTTTCTCTCTCTCTCTCTCTCGGCTTTAACTTCTTCTTCTCCTTCTTCTTCTTGTAACATGTATAACCCTATGTTTTTACCTGTATATATTGCGCACGGAGCGAAAGAGAGAGAGAGAAAGATTTTGCGTAATTACGGGGTTTGCCGTCTATATCGTAAGTGCAAGTGTGTGCATGTATATGTGTGTCTGCCACCAGAAGAATGTATAATACGTATATGAGCGCGCGAAAATTTCGGAGCGCGAGCCCGAGCGCAATAATACCGATGACGAAGGGTATACACGGTCCCGGCATGTATATAGCACGTATAGTTATATCGTATGATGTTGGCCGTTTCAGCAGCACCAGCAACGAGTCAGAGAGGAGAGGCTCATAAGTTTGCCCAAAGTTGTTGAGCACTTTAGTTTTGCGGCGAAACGCCCGCACTCGTTGCTCTGCGCCGGGTATAACGTCTGTATATGTGCAAGCGCGCCCCATGTATGTACTGCTGTTTTATGAAATTCATGCTTTATATTATGAATGCCCCCGCCACCGACGCCGCGATGATTTCATTTTACGAGATTGGAGATTTTTCGCGGTGATATTTCGTGTCTGTGTGTGTGTATGTTTTTATTGGAGGAAATGAAAAAGAAAAAAACACAGAGGAGAGGATATGTAGAGAGAGGCCGGGGGAAATCGAAACTCGAGGTTCGTTTATATATCGAAGTCTGTGGCGTGTTACAAGCGTCTCGCTCGTTCCGCTAGTGCCTCGCTGCCGCTGCTGCTAGATAAGTCAATAGAAATAAAACCGAAGGAGCGGAAAAATCTAGCGAAAAAAAGGGGCATTTAAAGCCCCGAGTACGTGTACTTGGACCCGCGAGCGCACACATGCACACACGCTCGTATACATCAACCTAGTCACTCTCTCTCAGAGGAGAGGAGAGAAGCGAGAGGAGCAAACATCAGCGGCAGCAGAGTGTAATCGTCTCCTCTTCCGTGGAGGCACATACTCTACGTACAGAGAGAGACGAGCGCGCGCGTGGTTCAAAGCTCGATAGTTAAGACGCTCTCGAGTCTATATGGCCTAGGCTAGAGCTAGAGACGACGACGACGACGACGACTTTGCCGCCGCTCGTCACAGATAACAAATGACTTTGGTGGATTTTCCGGTTTGCACGAACTGCTGTACTCTCTCTCTCTCTCTCTCTCTCCGATGGCTTTACTTTATATATATAGAGGAGCCGAAGCCGAGCGAAGCTTTAAAACTTGACTGACTATACTACGTACTATACGTTATATGCACGCAAACACAAACACAGCTCCACATGAGTAACGGATGCCAACGAGCGAGCGAACGATGCACGCCCGGGTTTGCGCTCGGTATACACACACACACACACACACACACACAAATAACGTTATGATGACGCGAACGCGAACACGCGCCCCGCGTGCATAATTAACGGCTACGAGCGTATATATACACACATACGAAGCGCAAGCAGTAAATGGAGGAAGCACGGCATATGTGGGCCTGGCAGGCGACTTGCCCCCGCTCGTGCGCGGATTATGGGACAAATATTCCGCAGTCCGTTGAGGCCAGCGCAGAAAATTTTTTATATACTTCTCTGGCGACTCTGTATGTTATGCGTTGTATATATTTTACGTATTGTATATGCCGTGCACGCTTTTTAGTCGCGCATGTTTTTAATATCAAAAGTCGCGCGGACGCGTTATATTTCACGGCTTTTTTTGTACCTTTCAAAAATATAATAATATTACTGTATACGAGTATATTCTGTGCGACAGAGAGACTAACCGTTTTTTCATATATGTATGTTTCAGGGGCACAAGAGGAGGAATCGGCAACTGTCAACAAGTGAGTAAATTCAATTTCACCGCCTTCACCTGTGCGCCCGCGCGCGCTCGCCTGTTATACGATTCTCTGCTGCTATATATACATGTATAATACACACAACGGTAATGTTAACCTTCGACAAATATCGTCTCGCTATATATATACGGGCTTTTACGTGTGCGGCTGCTGCTGCTGCTTTTTTTGGCTCTTTGCATACATATTCTCTTTTTCTCTGCGCTCTGGCGGAATCTCCGCGAATATTTGCACAGCCCGCATAGATCGACAAAAAGGTCCTCTCTTCTCCTTTTTTTCTTCTTTTTTTTTTAAGCGTGTGTAAAAACCAAACCAAAAGTAACAGAGAATTTATCGGATCGAAAAACTACCTCTCACCCCAACCTGAACTATTTTCTTCCATTTTCCAATTAATTTTAGCCAGAAATTCCGACGAATGTTATTCCATCGACGCAGCATGAGGATCCGTGGAACGATTCCATCGAAAAACAACTGACGAGCGAACACAGGGCCATATAGGTCGGAGAGGAGGCTCTTTATTAGGAGTCGATTCGGCCGCTTCAACAATGTTAATAAAAAAAATTCCCTTCGCGCATAGCCGAACGAACGTCGATTCTCTGCTGCGGCTGCGTTCCCTTGTCTTTCCCTTTGATGGTATATTATATGTATGTGTGTGTGTGTGTGTGTTGTGCAGCACAAAAGGCGGAATGCGCGCAGTCGAAGTGGAGGCATCCTCGAAAAATCGCGTCGAGAGGTCCTGGCGTCGTCTCTCTCGGCCTTTGAACGTTATTATTGTGTTGCCGCGAAGCAAACAACCGTTCAAGCCCGTTTCTTCTCTCTCTCCATATTTACGCGCGCAACCACGTATATATATATATACACACTCGAGAGAGTCATCGTTTAATAGCCCGCGAATAAAGTGAGACTCTTTTCGCTTTTACCGTGCGGACGCGGCGGCTCGCTGATGCGGCATGAGGGACGTAGTATAGTGCGAAAGAGAGAGAAGACGGAGCAAGGTGAGAGAAAGAGAAAGAAAGAGTTGAAATGAAGCGTGACGTCGGCAACGAAGACGACGACTAAGACTACACGGCGGCGATGCGCTTCGGGCTAAATGTGTGTTACCTACAACACACTTACACACGTACACACACATACTAACACATCTTTTAGCGAGCGCTCGCGCGTAATACCGAACGAAATTTCGTTTTACTGCGGTTTCGCGCGAACTCACTTTGCTGCCACTGCTGCTGTTGCTGTAACTGTTGCTGTTGAACGAGAACGTTAAAAGCAGTGATAATTGCTGCCTCTCGAGGTGCTCCTCTTTATTCTTTATCCTCCCTCCCTCTCTTTCGGTTATTATCCTTTCGACTCGAAATCTTTTTGTTTTTTTAATTTTTTTTTTTTTGAAGTGAAAATCCTCTACGCGCGTTGAGTAGCTAGAGGAGTGAATAGCTCGCGTGTGTTGGTGCATTCTGCGTTTTTGTGCAGATTGCTCGGTCAAACGACACATTTAAGATCGCGTTTCGTGATCAATTTTTTGAAAAGAACCAGCATTAACATTGTCGAGAGGAAATAAAAAAAATTCAATTGTATTATATTGAATTGATCAAATTATCATTGATGGTATTGAATAAAAGTAACAAATTAATATGAAAAGCTTACACTTGAAAAAATGTTAATCCAAATACATATAAAAATTAAATTTTATAGTACTTTACGTACAACATTTTATAGCACTGTGCTAAGTTCACATTTATGTCACAGAAAAGCGTGCCATAAATTTTAACTTATGCCACGCAGTGCTATAAATAATATAACTCATTTCTAAAACGCAGCTCTATATGAAGTGCTGTAAAAAGTAAAATTCATTTAAATGCCAATAGAATTTATTAATTTGTTCCTAAGTTTTCGTGGAAAAATTTAAGGATTAATATTCTACAAATCGTTTGGTATCGTAACAAGATTTATTTCTATTCAAAGATATCATATCTGATTATGGGCTTTTTGATTCTACCAACAGATGGAGTCTTGTAAATCCGCAAGTGGCAAACATATTTTCGATTAATATATAAATCGCACCCGCTTGTTAGTTTTTATTGACTTTTTTTTCCCATCGTTTAGTTGCATAACATGTGGCTTTCGTACAGAAACAAATCTCTGCACTAGTGAATAAAACACAAGGGAAATAAGACAAAAACAGAAAGAAAGAGAGAGAAGGGAAATAAAAAAATAAGAGAAGCGAATTCCGGTATTGCAAAACACGTGGCTGCTCCTCGCGCGTCGCTCGAAAGTTTCGATAATGAGCTATAAAAGCGAGTGAGCGGTCGATGACTCGACTCTGCGGGCTTTTAATGAAAACCTGCTTCGGGAGGATCGCACACGCGCTCCTGCTTTTACATACTAACACAATGTATAGCACGTATCCCTTTTTTGGCTCTTCCGCCCGTATATAAATACATGCACACACACACGCGCGCGTTACAAGGGGGTACATATCTCTCCAAAGTCTTTCGGCGATTTATCATGATGTTAATGTATAGTCGTGTGTGCTTGCATACTCGCGACTTATGTATATATACGAAAGGTACACACACGTGCGCTTATATTACCCGTCGAAGATATTATATTAAGAGCACTTGTGCAAATTTTTTTTCAATCTGCAGCGGAGCGAGTACGCGGGCATGGGCGCGCATATTTATCATCCGTCGAGTTTATTATTTTGCCTCAAAAGGCCGTGTAGCCATGCATAAATCCTCACGCAGGGGGTGTAGTATGTATTATATACAACGACTAAAGAACGTGCCCGCGCGCGCGCGCGGTGATAATTGAAATGATTTTGGGAGAGAGAGAAAAAATACTCACTCGCGTGGGTATAAGTCGTAAATTCGTTTAAAAGGCACATACCGGTTAATAATTTACAGAGTTGTGAGTTCTGCAAAAGAGAGGAAAAAAGGAAACACGTTGGTGAGAGGGGAGTGGAAGCAGGAGAGGAGAGAAAATATTTACTGCACATAACGTTATTTTGTCATTCCGAGAGCAGCAACCCGTGCGCGCGCTTACGCACCTGTGCTCGCCTTATTATTTTTCGACGATTTATTTAGAGATCGACAAAGGAGGCGCACACGCTCACAAAAACGAGCGAAAGAAAATTTCATAAATTCGTTTTGAATTTCTGGAAATTCACGAGCTTACGTTCACTTGGTAGTATTGTAAGGCAACGCGGGGATCGCTGCGAACGAGCCAAGAGGGTAAAAAAAGCTAAGAAGAAATCCGATCGATCGCATTTCTCGAATATATCGCCGATTAACCGATGCGAAAAATCACATAATTTATATTATACCGTCTGGCATTGACTTGAAAAAACATATTCCGAGCAGCCGAAGCAGCGGCAGCGAGCTCCATGAAAAATTCCCTACCATGTGCGCGCAATTCGCATAGCTTATATAGATGTACAGCGCACGCTCGCTCGCACACACGTATGTAATCACAGCGCCGCGCGCTGCAGGTACACATCTACATTTTTATCCGTCTCTCTCTTTCTCTCCCTTTTGCTCCGCCGGAGCTCTATCATCGAAGAAGAGTCTGCAAACTAATAACGCTCTCGTCGATTTTTTTCCTTGGTTCTGTGCCCTTATGTATACATATAGTTACCAGCGCACACAGAGAGAAGAGAACGAGCGAGAGAGCGAGGAGTAGGAACTGAAATTATATCATCGTGCACACGCGAGCATCATCCCTTTTTCGCATCGGCAACAACAACAACAACAACAACAACGGCAACAACGGCAACAACAGAGGAGTCGATATCTCGTCTCTCTGGTCTCGGGATGATGTGTGTGTGTGTGAGTATATAAGCGTACAGGGCCCCGCGCGCGCGCACCGATAACTCGCAACTTCCGGAGTTTCATAGTAATAACAATTTGCCCGGAAAGAAGAGAGAAATTTTGCCTTATTAAGAGCCGCTCGTTTGTCTATGTATACAAGGCAAGAGAGAGAAAGAAAGACGTAAAAGTATCCTCGGCTGCTCGCGATGCGGATGTTTTTGCGTGCAGCTAAAAGCACACAGAGAGTGAGTGAGCGCGAGCGCAGAGAGGGATTATCTATTATAACGGGAGGGCTTAATTTCTCTCAACGAGATATCAACGGGGCGACTCTATCCTCCGCGCGACGACTATATACGACTCTATATGTATACATACAGTGGATGGGGATATATATATAAATACGCGAGCCGATGTCCCGCTTTAATCGCTCGCGATCGAACAGCTGCAGAGAGTCGTTAGCTGACGATACGTGACGTTTTTCTAGGATCTCGATCATGGTAATGACGCTTACGACGCGAGAGATATCCCTCATTGCTCGCGTATGTGTAAGAACGCGATTCATTTTTTTTTCTTCTTTTTTTTTCATTCAACTACATACATATGCCATACTTTTCGTCCCTTTGTCACTCGGGCAAAATGATTAGGATAAGAGTCATACGTATATACGTGTGTATAATATAATTCAAAGCTGCACTCGCGTCGCGTGCGTATCCCGTTAGGAAATTGTTTCTAGGTTGACGATATGATTTACGATTAATTGTGCGTGCGCGCCTCGTGCTGCAGCAACGGCAGCAATAGAAGGAGGAGGAGGAGGATAAGGAATAAAAAGAGAGGAAAAAAATGAAGTGCGCTGGGCTCTCGCGTGCCTCTGCTGCAGCCACGGGAGTAATAATAATATCGTATAAATCACGAAATGATATACGGCACGCTTGGGTGTCGCACGTTCGAGTCTCTCTCTCTCTATGTGTATGTGTATGTGTGCAGTGTGCGCAGCAGTGTAATATAAGGCAGCTCGAGCTGCAGCGCTCGACGACTATTGCGAGCCCCGTTCACGGATAAAGTAAAGTCGAGCGCGCGCCTGATCACTCTGCGGAGTTGCAAGCGACTAAATGGCGTCGATTAATTTCTCCCGCGAGTTTTCGTCCTTGAAATTTGAAAAAAAAAACGAGTGAGAGAGAAGAAGTC